TGTATATGTATATGTATGATGTATGTGTATGTGCACGTTCATACCTAAGTGCGATCCCCAATCTTCCGAGCCTCCAGCTGCAGCTCGCAGACAAAGCGAACAGAAAGCGTACACGAAGGAGAGAGGTGGTCGCCTGCTGCAATTCTTACTGTATGGTGGCAAGACGAAACTTGAACGGCTCGCAGGCTGCAGGAATAGTGCAGTAGGAGCCGGAGGATCTACTTCCTGAAGCCCTCCGATCGGGGCGAGATAGCTTCATGCTCAGATGAGGCGGCCGCATTACCATCATGCATACTTGGACATGGTAGCCTAGCACGCATGAGCTTTTGAAACATTAACACGAATCAGCAGTTACTAGTAGTAAGTAGCATGTCATTACATGACATGACCTTCGTAATATGGCAGGCATTGGCATAGAGCCTGCAACTACATGCGCTAGCACAACAGTCATACCGTATTGCAATAAACGGCGGGCGTTGCATAATGATTGGAATAAAGTATCGAGAATTTCCATGCTACCAATAAGTATGTAGGGACCATATGGGGACATGAGTACACCTTCTTATAAACTCCATATCCTGCGTTGCAAAATCACCAATGATGGTGGCATTTGTCAAGAGCACCTTCAGATCTGACCGCTTGACAGAAGTTCTCGGGCACCACGACGGAGGAAAGAAACCCCAACAGACGACACTAAACCCTAAAGGCTATATCCTAAGCCCTATACCGATACCCTCTACCCGATACCCCTAAACGATATAACCTGACTCCTATACCCTACACCCCTAAACCCTATAAAGCCCACAAGGCCCGGGCAAGAACGGCCATGTCTGCGCCCAAGCCCTCGTCTTGCGCGCTCAGGTCACCTCATTCAGCTGATTTTGAGCTTCGGATGTCTGGTTTAGCATTTAGGGGTTTCGGGTGTAGGGTTTTGGGTTAAGGGATTTAAGGCTACTACGGCCTAAACCCTAAACCCTAAACCCTAAACCCCTAAACCCTAAGGAATTTAAGGCTACTACGGCGTAGTTCAACGAACACATCTATGGGGATGGAGCCTTCTGGAAGCGAAACTGCTGTGCTGTCACTCAACATCTCCCCGGCCCCCCGCAACCTTCGACCTCCGCTTCTTATGCTTCTCGCAACCCGGTTGGGCCTTTAGGGTTTCGGGTTGGTTTAGGGGTTTAGGGTTTAGGGTTAGGGTTTAGGGTTTAGGGTTTAGGGCTCCGCAGGCCTTTCGTTTTGGCTCCGATTTAGTGTAGGTGCTGTTTTGGCACGTTCGACGACCGCCACCCTTCAACATGACCCATTCAACAACACCTGCCACGTGCGCCACAAAAACTCCTTGTCCAACCTAGCTGCGACCCCGGCACGAGTCTGTTTTTTTTTTTTACGAGCGCCTCAACCTTTCCTGTCCTGGACCCATGCTTCCGTGCAGCACTCCTCACTTTAACTTGGGTGAGGATTATCCCACATTAGTGTGTTTATCCAAATGTAGGTTGTGGGTTCGGGCGCAACTTTTGTTTATCCCGTTTCGTTGCGACTGTTTTGCTTGACCACCTGGCATGCTTTGGCACTGTTCTGCTCTCATAAATGTATTCGGTCAATAGTTGACCCAGGTCAACTGCTTCTTGTTACACTCCACAGAAGCCAAACGCCAAAAGCACTCTCTCTGTGAATCGTAGTACCTATAGTCTCGATTGTAGTTCCTTTTTGGGGATACCTTATAAAATCCTTAATATATAATTGCTTAAACCAAAAAAGGAACTACAATGGAGACTACAGGTATGCTGCATCTTTGTCAGCTCCAGCATCGAGCAACAGCTGGACTACTTCCAAGCAGCCTCGCAAAGCTGCCACATGCAGTGCTGTTATTTTCCATCTCCTGCCGCAGCGCTCACATCTGCCCCATTTCGGTTTAGGGTTTAGGGTTTAGCCTATAGCCTTCAGCAACACGTTCACTACTTCACCGGCATCTTGCGCGGCCGCGAGAAGCAAAGGTCTGACACCTTCAGCACTTCCTACGTCGTCGTCTCCCTCCTGGAGCAAGAGTCGGGCTGCTTCCACATCAGACCATGCTGCACCATGCAACGAGGTTAAGCCGTGTGCAGGGTCTCAACGTCAAAGACTGCAGTTTGGTCAGCTCCCGACCTGTAACAAATCTCACCACTTCCGAATGGCCATTCAGCACTGCCGAATGTAAAGCTGTTCAACGTCTTACAGCATTGCCAGCCGGCATCGACTTGCAAGCTGGCGTCAACGTTGGCATCAACACCCAAGGTGGCAAACACACCAAGCCTCTGATTGCTGCATCGATGTCTGCTCCAGCTTCAGCTGGCAATCGCACCATTTCCGAGCACCCAGGCTCTGCTGCCAAGTGCAAAGGGGTAGGATAATGCTCAAGGGCATAGTTCCTGTCTGCTCTAGCCTGCAGGAACAATTCCAAAGCTTCCAAACTGCCACAAAACGCTGCCACAAACAAGTGGTAGCCGTTTGCGTAGGCTCCGGATTCCACCAAGAATTGGAAGACATGGAAGTAACCATGAATCTCACCACGTCCCACCGCCAAATCCAAGGCTGTTTTTCCACGACTTGCCCCATTTATATCAGCTCTGGCTTCCACCAGCAGCTGCAGCACTTCTAGGTCGCCCGACATAGCTGCGGCGTGAATAGGAATGTTGCCACCACCCTCGTTGGGATCCTGTGCTTCTTGAAGAAGCTTCTCGACTTTGTCGGCACGCTTGTTTCTGCATGCACGCATGAGGGCTTTCTGGGATCTTTCATCAAAAGCAAAATCTGACATGACCAGCTGCATTCGTGCCGTGGACGCCAAGGGCATGTTATCCTCCGACTGGCCAGTGCCATCGGCTAGGAGCCTTTGCTGGAACCTTGAGAAGCCAGTCTCTGTTGCAAGCGCTTGTTTGAGGTCTTCCACAGATCTGCCATCTTCCACCATGCGAGCGTACATATCCTTATCAAGTTCAGCCAGAGCTTCATCGGACAATGCAACGATCTGTACCATTGGAGGATGTTCCTCACATGGACGTGTGCTGGACAGGTCCAACCGGTGCTCTAACCCAAAAACACCGCCTTCCCATTCCATGTGCTGATGTATGTAAATGCATGTAGGCATCTTCGCTTTAAGTGTCTACTGTTATCTAACGTGCTCAAAGGCTCTCATGTCACATCTTCACATCTTATGCTCTTGATGAACCTACCCAACGCAAGCCCTGATCCGAGGTTGTCACAGCAAAGCCGAATTTCTTCCAGGGTCTTTGTCGAACAGCAACAGCACCCTCGCTCTCCCTTCTCCCTTGCTCTGTTCTCTTTCTCTCTCGCTCTCTCCCTGTCCCTTCCTCCCTCTCCCTCTCCCTGTCCCTTCCTCCCTCTCCCTCTCCCT